CAAGAAACAAATGTTGGTAGTTCACAGTTAAAATGTCTCTCTAGCAATCTGGCCCTTGACCTGGTTCATCTCCCACCTGCTGCCCTGAATGGGTCCCGCCAGGCAGTCTTCAGAAGCCAGTGGAAATGGGCATATGCTTGGGAATAGTTTGGCCTCTTGGAGCAGTTCTTTCCTCTTTTTAAGGAACGCCGGTTGGCGCATTATGTGTCAGGTCACTGGTTCGAAACCACAAGCTGTTCCTCAGAAGACGTGAGCAGTCTCCTTCTATAAGGATGTGTAGCTTCAGAGACCCACTAGAGGGTTGCCATGAGGGGGGATTTCACTGACAGCAGTGAGTTTCCTCTCTGTACAGAGGGAATGATGTCTGGGAACGGTCCCTAGTTCCTCTTTGGAGCTGTGTGGTTGGAGTTCACCAGCTGAGCTCAGTGGTGCTAGACCTCCTCACCTCGCTGTGGTTTGTAACATCAGGTGGCTCAGCCCGCGGCGTGAGATCCGTTTAACAGGACCTGCGTCGCTTCCACTATTCTCAGGATGGAAAGTCATTGAAAGCCTCCGACCCTACTCCTTCATTTTCCTTCCAGAAAACTGCACAGTTGGTTCTCTTCTCAGTGGTAAAAGCCTTTGAATGATAGTGAGGATACTGATAGAATCCTCTCTTGTTGCTGTTGGTTTTTTCCATGCTGAGATCTGTTTGTACATTTCTTTAGGTTGATGTATTATAAAACATGAGGGGATCGAATTTTATGGTCTGGTTTGCATTGGCTTCACTTTCCTACCCTGTGACAGACACCAAGAATGGGTTGGAGAAAACCTGGAAAAGCTCTCTTGGTGACATGCTTTTTCCCTTATGTTTTACTAAATGTGTATTACGTGGAGCTTATGTTAACGTTTATGATCCATTGGTCCTGTGATAGTCACAGATGTGGAACTTTCACCTGTTTCCAAAGCTTATCACCCAAACAGAAGTTCTGGACCAAACTAAGACATCACTCCCCACCACACCCTGACCCCTGGAACTGTCCTGTCCACCACTGTGGACTTGTTAGCCAGATTACTAAAATTCAATACCCAGAATATTTCATGTAATTGGGACCATACGGTACTTGTCCTCTTGTGTCTGGTTTATTTCACTTAATGCCATGTCCATTCATGCTGGAGGGAGGTATCAGAATCTCATTCTTTTTTATGGCTGACTATTATTCCTCTATGGGTCTGTGTGGGCATGCACATGCGCATGTCAGACATCACACGTTTTTTTTTATTTTATTATTTTTGTGTGAGTGTACCGCCAAATCACATCTGACTGGTACAGGAGGAGATTGTCCCTCCTTCCCCGGCAGAGCATCTGGTGGATTCGAACCATACACCTCTGGGATTGTAGTTGCAGCTCCTTACCACTAGGCCACCAGAGCTCCCCGACATCACACCTTTTGTCTGCCTCTTTTATGTATCATTGGTTCCTTAGGTTGTTTCCACCTTTCAGCTATTGTTAACATCATGAACTCCAGTGTGGATACATCTCTGGGAGTCCCTGTCCTTTGAGTGTATACCTAGGAGTGGCATTGCTGGCTCCTATGATGTTGTAAATACACAGGTACAAGAGCTGACTTGTCTGAGGTCTAAGATGTTGGTGTGATTTTAATTGTCAAGATGAAATGGTTGTGGGCCATTGATTTGATTCCAACTCATTGTGACCCCGTATGACGGTAGAACTGCCCCACTGAGTTTTCTAGGCTGTGGTCATTATGGGAGCGGATTTTCAAATCTTTTCTCCCAAAGAGCAAGCCATGAGTGACTTCCAACAGCTGACTTTTCCGTTCGCAGCCACACACTGAGCCCTTGTGCCAGTAGAGCTTGCTAGCATATTAATTGTTGTTGTTGTTGTTGTTGTTGTTGCTGCATGCTACTGAGTCAAAACCAACTCATAACCAACCCTCCAGTGAATTTCTAGAAGCTGTAAATGACCCTGGAGGAGATTGCTTATTAAGAATGTGGAAATAGGGGACCTCTGGTGGCCTAGTGGCAAGAAGCTGTACTGCAATACCAAAGGTACACGGTTCAAATCCACGAGATGCTCTGCCAGAGAAAGAGGGATAATTTCCTCCTGTATCCGTCAGATCTGATTTGACGGTACATGCACAAAAAATAATAAAATAAAATTTTTTTTTAAAAAAAAGAATGTGGAAATATTGTTATGATGGGAGTCCAGAACTAAGGTAGTATAGTGGAATGGACTTCAGGGGAGGGATTGAATAACAATGAAATAATGTCTTCTTTTACTTTTCAAAAAGAAAAATGAATTGGCAGGGGGTAGAGGTGTGGGCAGGGAGAAACGTGCAACAGTGAATGAATGGAAATCCAAAGTCTCTGTAAGCGTTCATGAAAATCCATTTAAAATAAAAAAAAAAAAAAGAATGTGGAAATACTAAGTTACAATTCGTTTAGCTTCAGTAAAAAGATTGGCGTGTTACTGATTTATAAAATGTAAGAAGTTACCCCGACTTGAAGTTCTAGGCTCGATTTATTTCGTGTAACAATAGACACTGCTGGAAAGTTCACCAGGAAGAGCTGCCTTCTCTGTCCACAGAGATGGGGAGCGTGTGGCTTGGAGAGAGGAGAGGGCTTTCTCAGCTCTTACCTTCTCAAGTCAGTTGTTGGTCAGGGAAGTGTGAGAGGTTTTATTCAGATCTCTGTGTATATAGGTATTTTCTGGTTTTCAGACATAAAGATCATGAGTATTTGGCAGATTCTAGATTATTTTGACAAGTTCTTTGATGAGAAGAAACAAGACCCACAGCTGTAATGTCTGTGGTCTGGAGGACAGGGGTGTAAGAGGAAAATGAAGTGGCTGTTTACGCTTTTAGGATGTTAAGACTTCCCCTGTGGCCCCGGAAGTGTGAGCAGTGAGCCTGGTGACTCCGAGGCTTGTTATAGGACTGTCTCTCCTCCATGGCATATGTAGGAACCCCAGAATAAGCAGTTGGGCCCCATTAATCTAGAAGTCCTTGGAGGATCATCACTGAGTTGGTATTAGTTGGCATGTTAGAGTTTGGCGCCGTGTGGTGTGGTTTTCAGTAACAGTCCAAAGAAAGAGACTTTGAGTGAAATGCTGGAAGAGCTGTGTAGACTTTCTTCTATTAACTGTGAGTGTTTTGTAAGAAGCACTTTGCTCGCCTTGTTGAGAAGGTTTTGGAGCTGAATGGAAAAATTGACAGAGGCTAGGAAAGGGGCTCTGGTAGCCTAGTGGCAAGAAGCTGCACTGAAATCCCGAAGGCACATGGTTCGAGGCCAACAGCTGCTCTGTGGGAGAAGGTTGGGCAGTCTCTTCCCATGAGATTAACTGCCTCTGAAAACCTGCCAGAGGATCGGCTGCGGTCAGTTCCGACTCTACAGTATATAAACAATAATAGTGAAAGAGAAAACAGGAGCTCTGGTGGCTTGGTGGTAAGTAATTGCACTGCCAGCCCAACTGGTACCCAGTTCGAATCCACCAGTTGCTCTTAGGGAGAAAGATGAGCATTCTCCTCTCACACATTTTACCACCTCTGAAAACACACTGGAGGGTCAGCTG